GCTAACTAACTTGGATATAAATTTTAAAAAATAAAAAAAATAAAATTAAAAAAAAAAAAATATATATATAAAGTGAATCTAAATCTTAGTTTTGAGAAAGAACAAATGTGAATCTGAATTACTGCATATTTTAAAATTGTATATAAACTCCAATTGAAGGAGCCATCTGACCAAGGTCTTGCCTCAGTTAGGAATGATGTTTTCTAATATGTACATAATGAGTTTACAGAGTTAAAAAGTAATCTTAAGTCTTATATCTAATGTTGCTGGAAATTTTCATATAAAAATAGGATAAATATTTTATTAAAAAAACACAATACCTAGATAGCTTATGGAATGGCCACCTAATGGGCTGCCGGAAATGAAGTAGTTTCATGTTAATTTCATGAATGATGTATTAAGTGAAAAGGAAACAAGCTGAAAGTTAAAAGGAATGATAACTTGATCCTGTGTATACATGCATATGCATGCACGCACACACACACACACACACACACACACACATTTGTATTTATATATGTTATAGAACATTGACTCTTTCTAAAAAGTGGGTAAAATGTTACATGGATCATTCAGGCTCTGGCTGAGCCCATTAAAGTACTAAAGCCTGATTTTTCATGAACTCATTATTATAATAAGTGCATATGAGGGAAGATAAATCTCATTAAAAAAAAAAACTCAGTTCAACAAATACTTATTTATGGAGCACCAACTAAATGCAGTCTGTGTTCTCGATACATGTGAACAAATCAGCCAAAGGTCCCTGACCTTTTGGAGGTCACCTTCTAATGCACTGTCATCATCAATCATTGTAAATGAGTTTAAAATAACATTACATGTGTATACTTCTGAGAATCCAGGAGCAGTGATAAGCCTGGAATTTAACAATTATTCATTCCCTTCCACCTTTATAGGTCACATTTTTGGAAAGAGGAAAAATATTCAATCAGTGTTTACTCTGGTGAACAGCTATTCCTTCTTCTCTCCTAGAAAGTACATATGCATTGGCGGAAAGCAGAACCACATTTAAAAGAACACAAAAATTATAATAAATACATTCTTGGATTCTGCAGCATTTGTATTGAACCAAATGTGTCATTTCTTTCTCTTTTCCTTTAAGGTCTCCAAATGTTGTGAAGAAGTAAGGGATTATGTTGAAGAAAGATCTGGCGAAGATCCACTAGTAAAGGGTATCCCAGAGGACAAAAATCCCTTCAAGGAGCTCAAAGGAGGCTGTGTGATTTCATAAAAAAAAAAAAAAAAAAATCCTTGGAATATCTTGAGCTTTAATGACAGTACTAGTTTTTGGTCATATATAAGAATTCTATTAAGCATGTACGTAAAGCTTTAAATTTATAAATATAAACTTTAAATAAAAACTGGGATGTGATAATGTATAAATCTGTTTTTCTTCAACTGTTTAGTACAGTGAATTTTGATTGACCTTTTTCTTTTAACGATGCCTACTGTTTCATGGGGCGCCTGGGTGGTTCAGTCGGGTAAGTGACTGTCTCAGATCATGATCTCGCAGCGCAGTTCCTGAGGAAAGGTCATAAGAAGCCAGAAAGTTCTGGCCCTGGCACTTCACTGCCTCTCTGACTTTGGATAAGTTACTTAATCTTTTTAAATCTCAGTTTCTTCTGCTGTAGGAAAGAAAGAATAATGGTTCTATCCCCTTTTACTTGGGGTTAAATATTACACTAGAGTGATTACGGCATTTAGTGTACCACCTGACACACAGTAAGACCCAATAAGTGTTAACTAGTGTTAATGAGAAAGGAACTAGATGCATATCCAGAATCCTTTAAGATACGTGCTATTCCATCCCATCTCTAAGAAGACTGTCACCAATACGGTCCTTTTTCCTGTAGCAGTGTAAGAGCAAAATGGTAGAAAAGTAGCTTTGTTCTGCATCATCTTCCTAATCAGTTTCCTCCTGGCATCTTATTGAGTTGACATAAGCCAAATCTCACTACCTTTGTGCTAATGAATGACTAAGATAATTTGCCTCTGTTTCTGTAACAAATGATGAGTGTTAATTACCCCAACTTGGAAACTACTTTTGTTGTTACTGTTTCCTTATCCTATCTCACACGTACAGTGCTATTTTTGGATACGTCAGTGATCAGAATACAAGGAAATACTAATTGATGTTCTTTTTGTTTTATTTTAATTACTTATGGGAGAGGGAGAGTGGCAGGGAGAGAGAGAAGGAGAGAGAATCTTAAGCAGGCTCCACGCACAGCATAGAGCCTGTCATGAGGCTTGATCCAAGGACCCTGGGATCACGACCTGAGCCGAAATCAAGATTTGGACACTCAACTGACTGAGCCACCCAGGCACACTGATTGTCATCCATTTTTTGAAAATTTTAAAAAATACTCATTTATTTTTGAGTTACAGAGAGAGACAGAGCACAAGCAGGGCAAGGGCAGAGAGAAAGGGAGACATAGAATCTGAAGCAGGCTCTAGGCTCTGAGCTGTCGGCACAGAGCCCAACGCGAGGCTTGAACTCACGGACACTGAGATCATGACCTGAGCCAAAATCAGACACGCAACTGAATGAGCCACCCAAGCACCCCTGTCACCCATTTTAAAAACAAGGTAAGAATTATCTTTATTTGGTCTGGAAGGGAATGTCAATGTGGTCCCAAGTTTGGCTCCTAGCATGGTGCTTTCCCACTCTGGTGGTAGTAAATGCTCAGCAAAGATCTGCTGACTCCTGCTCAACCCTTTCATTTTGAAATAGAGGAAATCCAGGCTCAGAGAAGTGAATTGGCAAGTTTCTCAGGTCCAGACTCCAGATCTCTGGCTGCATGGTTAACAACACACTCTATCACATATAGACATGCTTTCAGTATTAAGGGATTCCAGGATAAACTATTGGATAAACTACCCTTTCCTCAGCAGAAGCTCTTTTCCCGTTTAAAATTATAAAACTCCTTTCCAAGCACCCCTTCAGCACTTCCTGTCTTTGTGTTCCACTCTATTTTCTTCCATAGCTCCCACCACCATCTAGCATACTATATATTTTACTTGTTTTACTTGTTTAATTGTGGTCCATCTCAAGGGTTTTTCCATGTGCAGTTTGATGCAAATTAATGTTTATTAAGTGTTCCATTTATTTTTTCCCCCTGATTAAAAAAATACAGAGTCCTTGCTATGGCACTTAGTAACACGCATGATCCTAACCAACATCTCTACTTGCATGGTCCTAACTAACATCTCTAACAACTGGAAATAGATCTGAGAGCCAGATAATTCTAAGTTAAAGCTTTGGTTTGTCCACTTTCTACTTCAACTCTTTGAACGTCATGAGTTTTTTTCATGTATAAAATGAGAGCATAGGATGGATTCTTATATGAAAACTTAAAATCACTTAGAATAGAGATGAGCAAATGAGAAAATGTCCTCTATTATAATAAACCTTGGAGACTTCCTGTAGCCAACAAACTTAACTATTAAATGACCACTGACATGACACCCCATTTCCCCACCTTCTGCAGTTTTAGTCATATTGATCTCTCCACCTGAAATGTCCTCTTCTCTAACTCACTTCAGCCTTTTGAATCCTCCTTTCTGAGACTCACTAAAAACTATCTTCTCTGTCCCTCACTCCACCCCAAGAGTATTCTGTAAATCTTTTAACTCATTTAACATCACTTTGCTTTCTCTTATTACAGTTGGTATGGTTGTCTTGATCTCAATTCTGTATTGTAAATTCCCCAAGCCAGACGCTCTGTTTATTATTGAAACTGCCATACCAACTAATAAATTGTCTCTACAATTTAATTGACTAGTGTTCAATTAAAAGCAGGAAAGGGTAATACTTTTTATATTGGATAATTCAGAATTCTTATTAGCTTAATTGAGGAATAAATCGACAGTAGGGTAACATTCGTGTTGCTTAAAAATACAGATTGTCAGCACACCTGGGTGGCTCAGTTGGTTAAGTGTCTGACTCTTGGTTTTGGCTCAGGTCATCATCTCATGGTTTCATGAGTTCGAGCCCCACATCAGGCTTGGTGCTGACAGTGCAGACCTGCTTGAGATTCTCTGTCTCCTTCTCTCTCTGCCCCTTCCCCCACTCGCACTCTTTCTCTCTGAAAATAAATAAATAAACTTAAAAAAAAATACAGATTATCTGCAGAAGTTGGAATAAGATAAAAATCATAGAAAGGAGTGACAGAGAAAGATGGTTTAGGAAGAAGGATGTGATAATCATGACTGTTCCACAGGCTATACAGCTACAACAGTGAGTGACCTTTTTTTTTTTTTTCTTTCCAGAAGTTGTTATTTCAGGACCATGGATTACTAGGTAAAAAGGAATGAGGTAAGATTACAGGGAAACAAAAGAGACTCCTGGCATAGCCTTAGCATTTGGCTCTTCAACAAAACTTCCTGGTACCAGTAGTGAGAATGAGTTAAGTATACATACTGCAGTATCTACCATTTGAGATACTTGCACTTTGAGGGTATTTTCTACACATAAGTGAGTTTAAGCTTTAGCAAGAAAAAAAAAAACAGTTATTCTAATTTGGATTGATTTGATTTGAGCCAGATTTGAAAACAAGGCTAATATCAAACTTCCTAAATTCTTAAAACAATATTAACATGAGGAAAACAGTAAAATGAGTAATAAGAATGACCAGTTAAATGGAAATTAAAGTCTTGTATAAGCACAATTGATAAATCATATTTGATATGAATGATAAGTAGTTGTTAAGATAGTTGGAGCATTAGGGGCACCTGGGTGGCTCAGTCGATTAAGCATCTGACTTTTTTTTTTTTTTAATTTTTATTTTTGAGAGAGAGAGCATGAACAGGGCAGGGGTAAAGAAGGAGGGAGAGAATCCCAAGCAGGCTGTGAGCTATCAGCGCAGAGCCCAAGGTGGGGCTTGATCTCACAAACCATGAGATCATGACCTGAACTGAAATCAAGAGTCTGAGGCTCAATGGACTGAGCCACCAAGGCACCCGTAGATTTTGACTCAGGTCGTGATCTCAGATCATGAGATCGAGGCCCATGACTGGCTCCAACCTAGGTATGAAGCCTGCTTAAGATTCTCTCTTTGTCCCTCCCCAGTGCACTCAAGTGTGCTCACTCTCTGTCTCTCAGAAAAATAAAAAATAAAAAGGATAATTGGAGCATGAGACACAGGTCATCCTCTTACTTCATATTATCTCCATCTAGAAAAGGAAGCTTATGCACACAGTTGAATGGGTCAGTTGTGAAATTTTCCATGGGATTGTTATAAGTTGAAGTAAAATAAAATGAACCAAGTGCATCAAATATTTGTTAAATATGTTCTTTAAAGAAACCATCATTTTAATGGCCTAAACAGTCATCATGAACTTTATAAATTCCAGAAGAGCAGAATTTGGGAAATAACCTAGTTTATTTACACTAACAAAACAGAGGCGAGAGAATATATGTCCTGTAAAAACAAACAAAACAACAAAACATAAGATAAAATAAGACCAGAATCCTGGTCTTTTTGAGTTCAACGTAGCATTAAATCAACTCCAATATAACACTCTTGATATTTTCTTATATAGTTTCCTTTATATGCATTTTTAACAACATACTTAATACATTCAGAAACATAGCCAAAGAATTTTTTCTTTTTTTTCTTTCCTTTTTTTCCTTTTTTCTCTTTTCTTTTTTTTCTTTTTCTTTTTTTTTTTTTTTTTTTTTGCATGTCAAGGTAAATATTTCATGGTCTTTGCTCTTTTATACTTTAAAAGTAGAAATAGGGGCATCTGGCTGGCTCAGTTGGTGGAGCTTGTGACTCTTGAACTGCGGGTCATGGGATCGAGCCCCATGTTGGGTGTAAAGGTTTGATAGATGATATATAGGTAGGTAGGTAGGTAGGTAGGTAGGTAGGTAGGTAGGTAGGTAGATAGATAGATAGATAGATAGATAGATAGATAGGAAATAAACACATGGTTAATTTTCTTAAGTAGTTTTCTTTAAAACATTTGTCAGAAGATAATGGGCTAATAAAAGTTACTTTCTGGTTATACTTGTTATTTTCATTGCAGAATGGTTTGTACACATACTATTTTGTAAAAAAAAAAAAACAACAATCATAACTTCTATTACTTATATGTAAAATATAAGTAAAAAGCTAACATTACGTTTGGATATAACTGATATGGATTTTAAAATCTGTTTATCCAAACGGTTTTGTTGGTAGAACATTTCTGTGAGAATACACAAGAAATTGCTTACCATGGTTGCTGTCT